TTCTTTCCTGTTTGGTTGTTTTTTTCTTCCTTCTGGTCCACTCTATTGTTTTGAGTCCCAGTTTCCTTCCCATCACCATTGGCTCTCCGTGTGTTTTCCTTCATCTCTTTTATGGTAACCTGCATTTTTTCATCTAATTTGCACCCAAAATCAACCAATTCTGTAAGCTTCCTGATCACCATGTTTTGAACTGTGCATCTGATAGATTGGCTATCTCTCGGTCGCTTAAAATGATGAGTCCTGGGGCACTGATCTGTTCTTCTGTTTGAGACTTGTCTCTCTCTCTCTTTTTTTTTTTTTTGGTCTGGTCACTCCTGTTATGGTGAGGGGGTGGAGCCTTAGATGTTCACCAGGGCTGGGCACCCTAGTCGCTAGATTGTGATGTTGTATGTGGGGGTGGGGGTGGGGACGGGGGTGAGAGCGGGAGGGAACAATGGCAGTAGCTCCATTCTCCATGGGCCCTCAGTCCCTTCTCTGGGATCCTGGGTTGCGCACTCTGCCCTGGTCCACAATCGCCGCCTCACTGGGTCTGCCAGCTGCCGCTTGCGTACTCAGGGTCCACCTGCTGCAATCTTGTGTGCCCCAGATGCCCTATGTGCTCCCGGTTGCCTTATGCACCCAGTTTTCCTTGCTCTCTGCGCCGCAACCCAAGCCTCTCTCCTCCTCTCTGCCCCTCCTACCAGTCTGGATGAATGGGTCTACTTCAACTTCTTGGCTGTTCAACTTCCATTTAGATAAATTCTCTATGAGTTCTGGGTGTTATTCTACCTCTAAATTGTTGTTGTTCTAATCTTGGTTGTGCATGGAGGTACGGTGTGTCCACCTATGCCTCCATCTTGCTGGAAGTTGTATATGTCTTCAATTAGTGCTTTGGGTTTCTTCAGATAAATCCCAAGGTGGAATTGTTGGGTCCTTTTTTGTCTGTTGTTATATAACCATTGTTTTAAAGTCTATTTCATTTGGAATAAGATTGTTACCCCATCTTTTTTGTTTGCTTGTTTCCATTTCCATGAAATAACTTTCTATCCTTTGACTTTCAGTCCATGTGTGTCTATGGATCTGAAGTGTCTATATTATAGAGGCGTATGGAAGGGTCTTCTTTTGTCATCCATTCAAGCACCATATGTATTTTGATTGGAACATTTAATTCATTTGTATTTAAAGTAATTGTTGACATGCATTTATTGCCATTTTATAATTCATTTTTTCATCTTTTCTTCTTCTTCTTAAAGATTACCCTTTAACATCTTTCACTGTACTGATCTGTGATGAACTCCTTTAGTGTTTCCTTGTCTCTATAGCTCTTCACCTGTCCTTGGATCCTAAAGGATAGCTTTTCTGGGTAGAGTAATCTTGGTTGAAGGTCCTTGGTTTCATCGCTTTGAATATTGTGTGCCAATCCCTTTTGGGGCTGCAAAGTTTCTGTTGAAAAGTTATCTAATAGTTTTATGGGAGCTCCCTTGTAGATAAATAACTTCTTTTCTCCTGCTTATATTAAAATTATCTTTGTCTTTAAACTTTCCCATTTTAATTATAATATGTCTTGGTGTGGGCCTCTTTTGGTTCATCTTGTTTGGGAGTCTCTCAGTTTCTTGGATTTCTATGTCTATTTCCCTCACCAGGTTAGGAAAATCTTCCATCATTGTTTTTTTCAAATAGGTTATTAATCCCTTGCTCTCTCTCTTCTCCTTCCTGCACACCCACTATGCCATTGTTGGTATGATTTTTTTCATGTTGTCTCAGAGGCTCCTTACACTATATTAACTTTTTTAATTCTTTTTTTTTTTTTGCTGTTCTGATTGGGTGTTTTCTTCTTCTATTCCAAATTTCTGATTTGACCCTCTGCTTCAACTACTCCACTGTTGATTCCCTGTAATGTATTCTTCATTTCTCTTAATTTATTCTTCATTTCTGACTGGTTCTTTTTTATGCTTTCTATCTCTGTTTTTATGTTTTTTATCTCTTTGTTGAAGTTCTCACTAAGTTCATCCACTCTTTCCCTAAGTTCATTGAGCATTCTTATACCCAGTGTTTGAATGATAGTAGATTGCTTATCTCCATTTTGTTTATTTCTTTTCCTGGAGTTTTATTCTGTTCCTTGATTTGGGACACATTTCTGTCTCCTCATTTTGGTAGCTTCCCTATGTTTCTTATAGGTGGATCTGCTATATTCCCAGGCTTGTTAGAGTAACCTTAGATAGTGGGTGTCCTGTAAGGTCCAGTGACACAGCCTCCCTGATCACCTGACCTGGGCACTCCAGGTGCCACTCCACCATGTGGGCTGTGTACACGCTCCTTTTGTAAGCCTTGCTTGCTGTTGGCATTTTGATGGGAGGGATTTAGCCCCAGGCCAATGGGCTGCCAAGAACTGGCTGTGACCACTATGGAAGATCAGCTGAGCAGGAGCCCACCCCACTGAGCAGGACTTAGTTTAGTAGGACTTTAGTGCCTGCTGAGTTCAGCCCTTGGGTGTGTTCCTTATGGAAGTGCTTGAGAGATAATGCTTCCTTATGGTCTGAAGCTGGCCACCAGGTGAGCTATCTCTGGGATCTTCTGGGAGGTGCAGCTCAAGGTCAGCTACCCACTGTGCTTTGCCAGGGACTACTAGGCATGAGCTAAAAAGAGATCTGCAGATGACTGTCATTTGTGCTGTGTTGGGAGGTGCCCAAGAGAGGCCAAGCTCTGATCCAAGGCCAGATGGCTGCTGTTAGTGCTGAGCCTGAGGGCTTTTATCTAGAGGTACAGGACACACCCAAGGTCAGATAGATGTTTGTTTGAGAGATTTTAAGAATGTCAGCAGCATAAACAAAGCCAGGCTGTTTATATGGAAAAAAATACTGGAAATGGCTGTGGTGGGCTTACAAATTGGGTGGCAGGGGAAATCTCAAGGAATAAGTAGGGTGGGGCAAATAATGTTAGCCAGACTAATAGAGACTCAGTTTTGGAGCCCACCTGCTGGCTTTGTTGGGGAATATTCAGCAAAGGAAGAATGGCCCCTGCCATCACTTCTTTCTGGAGAAAGCTACCCCATCAGCTCTCATTCTGATGTCAGACAATTCAACTCCTTCACATATGCTCCTGGAACCTTTCCAGCTGCTGCCCCAACACTGGAGTTCAGAACGAGCCTGAGATGGTCAGTGTGAGGGCCCTTTAAAAGGAACATCAAGGACCCCATCTCTCTCAGCCTCAATCCCTGCTGGTTTTTATAACCAGAAGTTATGGAGACTTCTTATCCTGGCATTGGAACCCTGCTTGGGTGGCCTGGTGTGAGGCTGGAAGTCCTTGCTCCTCAAGGGATACCTCAGCCACTGATATAACCCTCCTGATTTTTATCTACCACATGAGGGTGAGGTACCAGCTCCTTCTGCATCTCTGCCCCTCCTATTAGTCTCAATGCAACTCCTATTTTATATCCGTTGTTATACGACTTTGATTCAGCTAGATTTTAGGTGGTTCTGAATGGTGGTTGTTCCGTAGTTTAGTTGTAATTTTGAGGTGGCCGTGGGAGGATTTGAATACTGCATTTACCTTCACTGCCATCTTGACCAGAACCCCAAATCTTGTTAATTTTAGATCTTAAATATATCTCATATGTACTGACTAAATTCATTTTTACATAATAATTTTAGCTCCTGGTGTGTCTTTCTAGAACTAGTGAACTCTTTTTTTGATTTTCTCCTTTTCTGCTTGTCTCACTTGAATCCACATAGTATGTGAACTTATAATTGGTAAATATCACTGAAATCATGTCACTCCTTGCTTTGAACTCTTCAGTACCTTCCCAGGATGCTTTAGATGTGCAGACCCTAGCAACAGCCAAGAAAATGCTATTGATTTTAACACCCTTTTCCTCCCCAACCTCCCCTTAGAACTATCACCCTCTTTGTGTCAGCCACATTTTTAAAAGATTCCATGATCCATCTCTACAACTTCCTTGCCTACTGCTTTCTTCTTAAAACATCCTTATGCCTATTTTCAAGAGTTAATTTCTAATCCACCCCCAGATCTCAGCTTAAGGAACCTTCCTCAGGGAACCTTTCCTTTATCTCAATCTCAGTGTGAACTTTTTTGACACCCACATCCTCAAAGCAGTTTGTTCTTTACATTTTTGTTACTAGTCTCAGGGATTGTTATACCTGAAGTTTCTTTGATGTTTGACACCCCAGTGGATTGTATTCTGCATAGGCAGTATTTTATACCTGCTTGCTTGCAGTTAGAAAATTTTCATTTAGTATTATTCCTGTCTCATAACTTAAATATCAGTTCACTGAATAACTAGTTATACTCCCTTGAGGACTGATTGACTTCTCCAAATATTAACCCATTATAAATTAGAATGTGTAAAAAGAAATTACGCAAAATATAATAAAATAAATAATTTAATATGACATCAGGGAGGCCTTTATCAAATGGCCCCAAGATCTTAATAAAACAAATATAATTAAAATTATTTATACAAAATATTTTATATTATGTATATATACACACAAACACAAAAACTGAAAATATTTACAATATTGAAGGCTTACTAGGATTCATTTATCATAATATACTAGCACAAATATAATAGCACAAATTAGGATAGTATGAACACCCTGCTAGGACAATAAGTAAAGAAGTTTAAAGATAGACATGTAAAAGTATACAGCAAGCTAAAACAATTGCCAAAATCTAGGGGGTTTATCAATAAAAAATAATTAAAATTAAAAAAAACATAGTATCAGATTGTACTTAATCTTCCATAAGTATTAGGAGTATTTTATCATCTACTTAGCATTAGGGAGAAAAACACATTATAATGACAAACAAATCAACCCATGAAATTAATAAATGGCAAATCAATGAAGTCAAGAGCAGACCCCTAACGAGCCTCATAATGTCATTTGAAGAAGTAGAGGTTGCCACAGAAGATTTTGAGACCTTGTTCAATATCTTTGCTCTCAATTCAGAGAAATCTCTGATACCCGCTTTCTTCCCTGGGCAATCATTCATATCAGAGTTTAGCTTCTAAATCTATGTTTAGCTAAAAGGCGAAGAATGCCATGTTGAATTTGTTTGGTCTTGATGCTATAAATGATAGGATTCATTAAAGGAGGAAAGAGAAAGTAAACATAGCTCATTATAATGTGGACAACTTTTGGCACATTTTTCCCAAACCTGTAAATGAATGACAGACCAATCACAGTTACATAGAAGACGAGGACACAACTGATGTGAGAAATACAGGTACTGAGGGCTTTGGCTCTCTCTTCACCAGAGGCTATGCTCATGACAGTCTTAAGAATTAGGATATAGGAGAAAAGAATAATCAAACAGTCTAAGAAGAATGTTAAATAAACCAGAACTATAGGGTAAATTCTATTGAAAGTTATGTCAGCACAGGCAAGTTTCATGACGTCTTGGTGAAGACAGAAAGCATGAGAGAGAACATGAGAGTGGCAATATGTATATGAAAAAAGACTCACGATTAAAGGTATAATGGATATAAAACCCCTCATAAAAGCCCCTATCCCTAACTTTACCACTTGAGTATTGGTGAGAATGAAAGTGTATTTCAAGGGATTGCGAATGGCAATAAAACGGTCATAGGCCATGGCAAGCAAGATACCGGATTCTACAATGGAAAGAGAGTGAATAAAGTAGGCCTGCAAGAAACAGGTTCCATGGCTCACCTCCCAATGATTCACCCATAAGACACCCATTACTGTTGGCATCGTGGTCAATGTCACCATTAGATCTGTTCCCGCCAGCATGGCAAGGAAATAGTACATGGGTTCATGGAGACTGTGGTCCTCCTTGATGAGGTAGAGAAGAGTGCCATTGCCAAGAAGCACAGAGAAATAGACAGCAAAGAAGGGGATGGAGATCCAGTGATGAGCGGCCTCCAGGCCTGGGAAGCCAGTTAGCAAAAAGGGAGCATCACTAACATTGGGCCACATAGTATATCCACAGGTAAAGAGAAACTTTCTAGAAGTCTTCAATCAAGGAACCCAGATATTTCAGTAGTAAAATATCATGGTAGACTCAGTGACAATCTCCATAGTTGGGAATAATTAATTGCTATGATTAGTAAAGATTTTCAGGTATTATTTGAGATGAGGAATGTTGGTCTTTTCCTAATTGGAAAAAATATTAGTTTGATGATTAACATTTTTTCGAATTAAAAGAAACAGTTTCATTAGTTTTTCTTAAAACATTAGCTCTTACTATTGTGTGTATCATATGTTTAAAAATTTTTGCAGCAACAGTGATAACAATAACAAACAAGATAAATAAATACAAATGGATAATTGTACTTGTTTTCTTGCTGTGATTGTTAACTTTTTAGAAACATTTAATTATGATATAGATTCTATTTTTTACAATCATAAAAATTCATACTCTTTTTAGGTAGACACATTTTTTCTTTGTTTTTGAAATTGAATGTCAGTGTTTTATGGGATACAAGCATCACCACCACTTCTAATTGCTTTGTTGCTCCAACAGTTTACCCTTTTCTACAGACTGGCTACAAGAAGTGTGGGCCACAAACCAGCCCCAGCTAACAAGTTTGGGGACTTGCTAGATGTGCAGCTTTGTCATGAATCAAAATTTGCATTTTATTACAATTCCCAGGTAATTTGAGTGCACAGTAATATCAGAGAAGCACTGCTCCAACCATGTCCTATCTAGTCCATCTTTGGGGATAAATGCTTTTTTATTCTTGCACCTGCTTGATGCCCTCACTCCTTCTAAATATTCTCACACAATTATTTTTATTGCTCCTTTGCCATTCAGTGGTTCTTTTTCTTCCTCTTGTCCTTCCCAAAATCATTTGACATAATTGTATGTGCAGATTCTTTCTCTATGCTTCCACTTAGCTCTATCTCCTTTTCCTCCAATGCTTCACTCCCAAGGAGCTGTTGTTTGTGTGACTGCTCACATTATAATGTTTCTACAGCCTAAAGATGTCAATTATCTCCACTGTCTTCATTTTCTTGATTACCACAACCCAAAATTAAGGAACTACTACCTTTTAGGCTGCAGTTTATTTCACCAAACACTCAGAAGCATCAAAGTAGGACTACATCTTAAGCAAAAGAATGTTTCCCTCCTGCATAAGATGTCCTTAATATCAGAAGTAGATCAGAACCAGAATAAATCACAGAGTCTAACTCTTGTTTTACAAAACTCTTTGAAGTTACATCTGCATGAACATGGTGCTCAATGAGATACAAATACCAATCCTGGGAGATCTCTAAAATTAAAGCACATGTAAGTCATATAGGGGTTTAAATTAAATAATTATGCAAATGTTGTTCTTTCCCTGAAAGTGTTTTTAGCTTTAAAAAGATGGACCTCAAAATAAAATAGTGAATTGTGAATCCATCCTAAAATCATAAAGTCCAAATAAACAATTGACCAGGGAAGATAATATGATATCTATTCCTTCTTGTCTGCTCTTTCATCTCTCCTGAATGGGGTGGAGGAGTGGCCTTCATAGGGGTCTGGGGATGTATCTTGCTGAGTCTCACTGGTAATTACCCATGCCTTTTATAAGTAAGTAAACATAATCTGCTGTTAAAATCGAATGAAAACAATATACTTCTACCAAGACAAATGAATGAGTGCATAATGTCACATTTAATTTAAGGCATTCACAGTGATCCTAATGCCAATCTAAGGGTCCAGAAAAGAAAAGCCAAATCTAGTACAGTTTGTTTAATATACTTACTGAAAAGACAGAAAAAGTCTGGGCTATAGTGTTTCCCACATAAACTGCGATAGTTCTTCTATAGAGGTCTCTGGAAAACCTTTAAAAATTGTTTTCCTTGATTGCATCTAATATCAGAAGGGCAAAGAGTCATTTCATATTTCTGTCCCTCACATCCACCCTCTCAGGTCTTGTTGGAATAGGGTCCCACTGCTGCCCTATTTGAAGATTTAGTCCAGATGATTCCCTTGCATAACCTCCTCAAGAGACCTCATTAATAAGCTACGTATGTAGAAATCACCTCCCCAGAATTTCACCTTTATAGCCACTCAGGAAACTCCTTGATTTCTCTACCTTCTCTTCTCTCTCTAGGAGAAGCTGGGCCATTCAATGCCCTAGGACTTTCAAGTGTTTTCTAAAGTGTTTTCCACAGTGTAAAGAAAACTGGGAATTCAAATGCTGGCAGAGGTAGGGATGTCAGGACTTGCTAATGTGACATCTTCCCCACACCTAGAATCCTCAGCATAGGGATTTAAGAAATCCACATGTGTCCTTTTTGTTGTGTCATTGAAATGCCAAACATATTTTAGTTTATCCCAGGGATCACTTATTCCATTCTTGGTCCTAGAACTTATGAATTCCAATTACATTTTTGTCTTTTCTGCTTCTTTGGGGTGAAATAAGTTCTGATATAGGAGAACATCAATAAATTTCTTAATAGCCATGTGCATGACAGTCAATGTTTGTCTTAAAATTACATTATATTTACATCATTGACCAGTTTGTGTCAGGTTTACAATGAAGAACAATTTTTTTTCCACAGAACATAACACAATAGTGAGTGGGTACTAGAAAGAAAATATTTACCCTAAGTTTCCAGAGCCCTGTTATTCCTGTAGAGGTGGAAGCATGTTTAGGGGAGCACATAAAAATGTTTGGGGTTAGGGGAAACTTCCCAGAGAAAACGTGGTTTAAGCTGAAACTGGAGCAGTGAGAATGGTATGAATATGGTAGAACAGAGAGAACAAAATGTTCACAGGCCAAAAGCAAGAATAAATATGACAAATTAAAAAAAAAACTGGTATACCTAAAAAAAAAAACATGTGGGAAGACTTGACACAAAATGAATCTATGGAAGCAGAGTCACATCAGATACAAATCATGTAAGAAATTGAACTTTACCCTACAAGCAATGAGTGTGAAGTAAAGGGGTTGAGGTCACCATTGGACAATCAGTTACAAATTTGCTGTGGCTAAGTATGAGGAACACACTGGAAAGGCCAAAGAGAGAGTGAGAGCCCTGGCTGGCGTAGCTCAGTGAATTGAGCATGGGCTGCAAACCAAAGTGTCGCAGGTTCGATTCCCAGTCAGGGTACATGCCTAGGTCGCAGGCCATGACCCCCAGCAACCACACATTGATGTTTCTCTCTCCTTCTCTATCTCTCTCCGTTCCCTCTCTAAAAATACATAAATAAAATCTTTAAAAAAAGAGAGAGAGAGAGAGAGTGAGGAGAGTGTACGATACAATTGTAATAATAGGGTGAGAAATTGTGTGGGTATGGATGTGATGAGGTGTTCTTAGCAGGGTTAGATAGAATTGGACGAGATTTCTATGATTCAGAAGAGATGTTTGCAATTTGAGGAGAGATAATAGTGAAAAATTATATCTGCATTTCTGATTTTACCTGAGTGGAGGGCAGTTCCATTTATTCAAATGGAGATTGCAGAGAGAGAAAGACTCTATTAAGTAATCTATGATTACTTGTCGTTTGCCACTTTTGCAGTAAACATTGATTTGCACTTTAGATTTGGAAAAAGAATAAGGAGAATGTGTTCAATTTAGGGCATTCTGTTTGTGAGTAGTTAAGTAGAAAAGTCTCTAGGCAGTTATGCATGTATGCCTTGAGTTTAGAAAACAATATTTGGGCAGAAGGGATTTGAGAATGATCAGTAATTAGATTAAATTTGATAAGATTGGAAACTTTGTTTCAAATTACTAGAAGTGGTTGTTAAGAGCTTGGGCTCTAGAAAGAGTCTGCCCGAGTGTGAACTCTAACTCTATTTCTTACAGGTCCAATGTTTTTAAATAGTCATTTATTCAGCTTCCTCATCTCTAAAATTGAGATGATAGAAGTTGTTGAAAGTATTATTGCTAGGATTAAATAAATACTACTAAGAATGATGATAGAGATTATATTAATTAATTTATGCAATTGTTGGCACAACGCCTGCAAAATGTTAAGAGCCTAATTGGGGGTTATTTTGCTGCTTTGTTATGTTTTCTCAGAAAAAGAAGAAGAAGATGGCTAAGATAGATTTAAAACAAGCAAAAAAAAAAGATGTTGACATGATGGTTTCTAAAGAACTGAATAATAACATATTAGCATTACTTAATGGTAAATTAAGACAAGAAGGAATCAGAAATTAAAGCCTCAGTGGGCTGGAGTCCCTGATGTCATCGGAGAATTCTGTAGTGGAGGTAACTGAGAGAAAAAGCCGGAAGGAATATAATAATTTTCAAAGGCTATTTAAAACTTTTGGTGATGTTATTCTTTCTTTATTTTTAAATTACAGATTACATTCAATATTATTTTGTTTTAGTTTCAGGTGTAATCATAATATTCTTATTAGCTATCTGTTTCATTATATAAAAGGATCATCATATATTTAATAATTTTCTACTGGCTGAATATTCTTCCCATCTAATTATTGTAGCAGTTCAAATTTTTTAAATATTTGTCTTTGCTGATATTAATGATTGGTCATAGTATAATATAATTAATAGAACATATGAGTGCCAGTAGTAATATGTATTTCCTCAACTCCTCAGAGAAAAATTCTTACCAGGTACATTTTGTTATTCTGGATTGATAGATGAGATAACTGAGGCTCAGAAATTAAATGACTTGTTCAAGATGACAAAAGTAACAGAAGTGTTTTTTTCAAAGGCTGCATTCTTTCTGCCAGATGATGCCATTTTGTTTTACAAATTTTCTTTATTTCCTAAGTATAACTTTACACACAGAAATTTACTATATCCAAAGGTATAAAAATGATTAAAATTTTTATCCTTTTTAAGTGTAATTGGATGCTTTTTATATCTAGTGTAAACTATTCCTTTTATCTAGGGCTATTGGGGGTAAAATATTTGAAAGAATATAATTTTATACATAATAATATAGTAATTGGAATTGATTCCATTTCTCAAACTATCTTCTTACGTTTCTTAGATGATTTTGTTTACAT